CTTTTAGTTATTTTAATCAAAACTCGAATGTACCTCATTTCTTTCGCAACGCTTGTGTAGAATTCCTCTGATGCACTTTGAAAATTGCTAAGGGTGACGTTGAAGTCTATTTTTCCTATAAATTGTATTTATTCCAGTAAATCGTCAATTCTCATATTTGAAATTGATCACACATATATTAAATATAAATAATTTCATTACTATTAAGATTTTATCTTGAATTTACAGTTCCCTTTTTGCGATAGTTCACCAAAACAATAATTTTAAGACTAAGTTACCGTTTTTGTTGAACGAAGTTTCGCTCAGTTATAACACTACGAAGGCATTGTATTATTGGTACATTATGTTTAAACACATCAAATAACTTAATGGTGGGAAAACTCCATAGTACTAGAAAGCTGAGAATGAGCGTCAGGCACGACTTTTGCCTTTTGGCAGAAAGCCTATAATGAGGAAAAAAAACTTGGGGGTTGTTCCGGGTATTTAAATTCTTGGCATTCCCACTTTTGGACCAGAGGTTTGGCCTACGAATTTTTATTTTCAGTTGATCCATATAGAGTTTAGGTATGAACCAACGATTTTTTAGTATGCGCTAAAACGTAGCAGTACGGAATTCGTTAAAATGGCGCATCTTGAAAGCGTAAGTTCATTTTTCATCGGTGAATAGCTCCAGCCACTCTGAGGTTTCCACCACTTTGTGTTTTGCATCTGTTGTGGGGGAAAGGGATCACAGAAATACAGAGAAAAAAAAATAACTCCACTGTTGAGCACTATTTTCGCTCATACAGAAATGTTAGTGAAAGAGGCGAACGTCTGAAAAACGTTGCAGAGCCATTCCCAGGGAGGTTAGATAAGATGGCGCGAAATAGCACAGCTTGACAAAGTTATATAAATATGTTTTCTTGATGATGGTTTTAATGTTAGAGTAACTAGATTCCAAAGACGTCTCTGTCACCATAAGTTCAATCGGGATGGTATTAAAATGTAAGGCGTCAAGTGTTTCGACATCAAGATCAAGTGTTTTGACATCAAGATCAAGTGTTTTGACATCAAGATCAAGTGTTTTCACATCAAGATCAAGTGTTTTGACATCAAGATCAAGTGTTTTGACATCAAGATCAAGTGTTTCGACATCAAGATCAAGTGTTTTGACATCAAGATAAAGTGTTTTGACATCAAGATCAAGTGTTTTCACATCAAGATCAAGTGTTTCGACATCAAGATCAAGTGTTTCGACATCAAGATCAAGTGTTTTGACATCAAGATCAAGTGTTTTGACATCAAGATCAAGTGTTTTGACATCAAGTTCAAGTGTTTTGACATCAAGATCAAGTGTTTTGACATCAAGATCAAGTGTTTTGACATCAAGTTCAAGTGTTTTGACATCAAGATCAAGTGTTTTGACATCAAGTTCAAGTGTTTTGACATCAAGATCAAGTGTTTTGACATCAAGATCAAGTGTTTTGACATCAAGATCAAGTGTTTTGACATCAAGTTCAAGTGTTTTGACATCAAGATCAAGTGTTTTGACATCAAGAT